TCATGACGCCGAGTGTGGTGTTGTTACCCTTAAGTAGAATGTCTCAATGGTTTTCAAAAGTATGCTAGAATTCGGAAGGTATACATATTTATTTATTGTATATTAGGTACTATTAATCTTATTTATTCAGTATGGTCATTAATTTTGTTCATAGTAGTAAAATTATCTTTCTATTAGAGAATGTGAAATAAGACGGCTTAGATAAGCAATGCGTGAGTTACATTTAATGAACTATGGACTTGTTATAATCAGCTTGAACTCACCACTTCAAAAAAGGATGAAGTCCATAAACTTTCTGAGGTCAGTTTTCTCTTTTCTAAATGGTGACTTCATACACTTGATTGATTATAGTAATTTAAAAGTACACATCGAAGAGTACTCGCAATTACTGACGGCTAAATCAAAGCCTTTATCAACTTTTAATTGAGTAATCATTTAAAAAGATACACTAGTCTGTGGTTTCAATTTAGTTTTTTTTTTTACAGATAACTGGACTTTTGGCTATGTAATTAACATACGATAATAAAACTTATTATATTAGTCCCGTTCGAAACATAGTCTTTCTCAGAATCCCTTAACAATTATCACTAGAAAGGAGTTACAGTCTAATCTAAACATCATCTGAGAAGACTGTAAAATATTCACCAGTCCCGTTAAGCCTTCTAGTGACAGTTGTAGTACCTACTGCTGTTAAATAATTACTTTTTCAAAATATTTGCTTACACACAATTAAGTACTGTTCGATAGTGTTCAGACTATTCAGTATGATGCTGATGTGTACAGAAAATAACGACTACTGAACAGTCTGAAGTCATAGACCCAACAGATCTTAATTAATTGCACTTGGGTCTATGTTCAGACTGTTCAGTTAGTCTGAACAGTTCTGAATTAACTGCAATGGATACGACTGACAATCGAACGAAAGACTTACAATGACGTAACAATTTATTGAAAAGATCAGAATAACCGTTTCAGATCAAAATGGTTTGCAAGTATATTTATTTGTTTTAAAATGTAAACCATTTTTATACTTCAAAACCAGTTCTTATCCTGATTATTAGTATAATTGTATGTTCTTTAATATACCTTTTGTTAGTCTACTAATCGAGATGTATTGTAGAAAAGGTTGAACATATCAGCATTTGTCTACTTTTCGAAAATAAGTCTATTAACATCAAATAAAGAAAATGTATATATACTAGTAGTCATTTCACAGGAAGAAAGAAAAAAAAAACATTCAAAATTTTTTTTTAGTATAATTTTCATATTTTACCGAAAGAATAAGATGAATCGATTATCTGGTAACTTTTTTGCCCGAAAATTATTTGTTTTATTCTTACCACACCCGTGACTTGATATTTTAAACATTTACAAACCTTTGATTTTTTACGAAAACGTAATTTTTGTGTACGGTTTAAATAGAGTTTGTTTTATTCTATTACTATGATATAGATTTGATCAACAGACTTCACTCAAAATGATGTTTTGCTCTTATATAATAAACTATGTAAGGGTAATCTTGTTTGAATTTTTTTTTTTTTTGGCTGCTGCTTATGCAATTATATTTAAATTTTCATTATTTTCAGTTATAGTATGATTGTTATATGGCAAAAGGTGATAACTTTCAGTTGAGAAAAGTAGTTTTAACACTTCTAACTATGTGTTGTATTGTTGCATCGGAAGGTAAGTCCGAAATAAGTGCGTATATTTAAAAATAAATTTACTATAGATTAGCAGTAAATGGAGAATGTGATGATATGCATTGAATTAAGGAATTTTTTATTTACAACGGATTTCATGTTGAATTAACATTGGACATAGACTGAAAAGAAGCACACATTAATGAAAATGATTCCAGCATAATCATCAGATCCTTTATATTTCTTAGGCTTTTTTGTTGCTTTCGGTTGACCATTGAAGTAAATATTGTATATACCAAGAGATACTTTGACGTATCATCGATGAAGCAGCGGCCACAGAGAAAACACATATAACGGCAAAGCATTGATTAAAAATGCACACAAATAAACATGCAATATGAACATCAGTAAAGTAACATTGAAGGGATGCCAGGTGCATGATCTGCCTAAATAAACGTACTGTTTCACCACTGTCCCAGGTTAGGGGGATGGTTGGGAACCCGCTAACATGTTTAACCCCGCCACGTTCTTTATGTATGTGCCTGTCCCAAGTCAGGAGCCTGTAACTCAGTGGTTGTCGTTTGTTGATGTGTTACATATTTGTTTTTCGTTCATTTTTTTGTACATAAATGAGGCCGTTAGTTTTCTCGTTTGATTGTTTTACATTTGTCATTTCGGGTCCTTGTATAGCTGACCATGCGGTATGGGCTTTGCTCATTTTTGAAGGCTGTACTGTGACCTATAGTTGTTAATTTCTGTGTCATTTTGTCTCTTGTGCAGAATTGTCTCATTGGCAATCATACAACATCTTCTTTTTTTATAGCCATATACTAGTTTTTCATCGGACAGTATCTCCTTGTACTGAAGCAATTGATAAAACTGCTGGCATAATATTTGCACAGCCTTCTAATTTTATTTCCAGGTTGTGTATTATGGAAATTATCGTCCAAACCGGCTGTGTTTGGGACGAATGTTAAATTACATTGCATTTTCTGTAATAATGTTCCGTGTTGCAATGCATTTACAAGAAAATGGACGAAAGGAACTCATTATAACCTGATAGTTATGAACAGTATCTCATTAAACAGTGCAAAATATGAAGAATATTTAAATGTTTCAACAAAAACTTCAATTCTGACTATTAAAAACTTCACAGAAGAAGACGTTAACATACCGTACGAGTGTACATACGGGTTTGATACAGATAGCAAGGTTCTAACTCTGAATTCTACAGATTTTGAATGTAAGTATTTTGTTTATTGATAGTTAAGTGTGTTTAAAAGGGTTTTCAGTAAATGTGTTTGCACGGTTTTCGCTTGTCGGCCATCGTATGATTGAGGTCACAGCAGCAACAGTTGAATATGCAATAGCAATGTATTGAAAAGTCCAGTTTAGAGGTAATATTGACCTATTTAAATCATTGTGAAGAATGTTTTATTTAACGTTTATTATCAATACAACGGCAACATTTTTTTATTTATCATAGATGGGTCGTATTGTGGAATATCCTTGTCTGTCCTGGACGTCCGTTTGCTAATCAACCCGTTCACACGTCGTACAAAAGACTAATACATTAATTATTGTGATAAAGTGTTATGAAATTTGTATGGAATTTTCTGATTGCGTGAAGAAACATTTTTATCGGTTTCCACAAATCATGTATGGTGTCAATCAGATTTGTGTAAATTGATCACGTATTGCGCACTTGTCGTGAATGCTTGGATCGATATACTTGAAATCTTAAAATGATGTTGCATTAGCTACAAATAAACTAATATATTGATGTTGTATCTTAAAATTTAATTAATAAAATTAACTAGGGGAATAATGTTAAAATTATTGAAAAGTTAATTTTTACTGATCACAATTGGTTCATATGATACATTTTGTACTAACTCCTGTAGATCATCCGACAGAAGATGTTCCAGTTAAACTACACATTAACAGAAACCAAACAGCAACAGCCAGCATAATCTTTAACAAGGTTTATCCTGTGCCAGAGTGTTTTGCCAGTGATGATGTAAGATGTTGAAAATGTGGACATCGGCTTGAACGCAAATGCTTTAATTTTAAAACATCTTACATTGATTGGTTGATTGTTAAGCAACAAACAATCAATCAATCAATGTAAGATGTTTTAAAATTAAAGCATTTGCGTTCAAAGCCGATGTCCACATTTTCAACTTGGATAAACACGTTTCGTTGGCGAATATCATGTAAAGGTTAAATTACATATTATTCTCATGTGCCTCCGATGAAATTTATCTTTAAATTTGTTTCAATAAAAGAGTACGGATGAGTGATTTCAAAGCATGTTTTTGTTTTGTTTCTCGTTTGCTATCCTGTTTGTCACCTGTATTGTAGAATGAAAATCAAACCATATTAAAAAATGGCAAAATAAAAAAGTTCGACAAAGTTGTTAAATCTTTGGTACAAAATACTCCAAAACATAACAGGTAGATACATTTTGTAACAACTCATGCTTTACAATTTGTTCATAAGCTTTACCCAGTCATGATTGAATGTTACCTAAACGACATATATCCTATTTTCCACGAAGATAAAAGCTCCAAAACAGTTTCGTTTTATGTAAAAATTCACATGCGTACTGACTGTACAACCATTTTGATTTCTGAGCGTGGTGGGTCTTATGTAGACGAAACGCGCGTCTGGCGTATCAAATTATAAGCCTGGTACCTTTGATAACTGAATGACCTCATTTTCATGGTCAATTATACGTTTTTATGTTTTGGTCTGTTCTTCAAATATAAATATAAATAGGCCTGCTATATTTGGTGTATGGAATAAATATAAGGTGTAAATGTCTCTCTGGCATGTATCATCTGACCTTGACCTTATTTTCATGGTTCATTGGTCAATGTTAAGTTTTAGTGGTTTGCCATAAGCAATAGACCAACATTTGGTGTTATGAGTTATTGTATGGTGTACATGTCTTTCTTGTAGGATTTATCTGACCTTGAACTCATTGTCATGAAGATGATAAGTTTATTTGATGCTTGTAGTAAACCTTTTATCTTTAAGACTTGTAACATAACATCGACAGTCAGCAAAGCAAGCGAGACATCTCCGCGTGTGTAATCTTGTGCTAATATGCACAATTTTCTGAAAACATTTTGGCAATTCTGCGTTGAAAATGTTTTTTCTTCTTCGCTGAATACCCCAAAAAAAAGGGTTCTTTTTAAAATCATGACGCTGAAATATAAATGGAAAATTTCACATAGAAAACCAAGGAGTTAAAATACAAACACTGTTTATATATTCTGTCTCCTTTAAAATAACAAATTATGTCATGATTAATTTATAACACGATAAACCATTTCCAACAATTTGCAGAGTTCCGACATCACAAGTAACCTTTCGGTGGCAACTGAGAGGAATGGACTCTTTTACAGATCAAATCTACAGTTTCAATACCAGTTGGCAGATAATTGTTATCAAAACATTTCAATCCAGTGCATAGTTGGCAAAAAAATTATAACTGTGGTTAACAGCACTTTGCCCTGTTCATCAAGTAAATATGAAATATGCATATTAGTCTTCATCATGTTCAAACTGTTTGGCTTCCTGTATGTCGGTTTTTACAAATGTCAAACATTCACGTCTTTATAGATGTAATTTATACTCGAGAAACCACATGTTACATGTTTCAGATCTTACACAATATACGATCTGACTGAAAATATTTAAATATTTTGAAGATTATTCAATATGTGTGATCAAATTTTAATTTATAGAATGAACAGAAATATCTAAGTAAGGGTAACAACGAACCTAATATCGTTTAATAACGAACGACATAAATCCTGTAGAAATCAAAAAAGCATAAAACTTTCAAAATTTGATAGCATAATGTGTTCTTACAACTTTGATTTACTTTATATAAAACTCATAAACGTTTGTCAATTTCCAAATGTTATATAATGATTTTTTTCTTAATTGTTATTGTATTCTATGGAAAGCAATTGATGAATAAAAATTAAACGTGACACGAAAGGTATGCGGAGTTTTTTTTTTTTTTGTTCTTTTAATTTTATATGTTTATATAATCTTCAATTAATAAAGATTCTGTATACATTATCACTTCCTATACTATACTATACATGCTATATAAGTATGTTAAATGTCTTTCAGAATTAAGTCAGAAAAAAATAATTGCTACTATTATATCAACCAGTTGGATCCTCGTCAGCATTGGAGTGTTGATAGTTTTACTATATAAACGACGAAATTGTAAGTATAAATTGACAGAAAAGTTCTAATTACTGTTAAAATCAAAATACTTCTTATTATTTGATTTCTACATTTATTACTGTTGAAAGTCATTTTACGGATGTACAGTCTAGTGAAACCAGATAACAAAGGTTAAGATAGTTACATATATATGGAGTGGAAAAGATTATGGAAACTATGTCTTTTGAATTGTTTTGCATCTCTGTTTTTACAACCGCTGGTTCGATGTCACTGTTGTATGATGTTACGTTTATAAGGACTACACCAGCACATTAGTCACCCTTTTTGTAATGGAATGGAATTTCATTGCTATGATCATGGTTTATAAAATGTTCAATTAATCGAAATACTAAGGATTTTCTACTCCCGGGCGCATATTTCAATTGCCGTATTTGGCACTACGTTTTGGAATTTTCGTTTTTTATGCTCTTCATCTTCAAGTGCCACTGATGAGCTTGTGTAGACGAAATGTGAGTCTGACGTACAAAACTCTACGTCTGGTATCTTTGATAAGTTTTTTAATAACAGATTTGAATTCTAGATATAAGCCCCTGTCGTTATTCTGAAGAGGGTACATGTACCTGATTTGTGTCATGGGAAGTTCAAAGGGTTTTCGTTAACATTATTAAATACTAGTATTGCACAGTGATTGCATTACGATTGAAAATATGCAACCCCTATTTTAGGCAAATTAAATTTTTCCAATGTTTTGATCATATTTACTTGTCATATAAAAGTATCATATGCATCAGAGACTCCTCTTACAAATTCCGTTATTCTATTGCTGATACATTAATCATTCCAATATGCTGAAATTAAAATTGATATTTGAATTTTCCATCAATAAACAGAACATTATAATTATAAGTTATTATAACACTATTAATATTGATAAACAAGAATTAACTTTTTGAAATTTCATTTTAGATATTTGTTTTAAATTCGAATCACCAGTATCAAATGATTATAACAACAAAGAACGCATTGCCATGGCTTAATAATGTAAGTAACAATGAAATAGTCAATAAATAGAGATGAACTGATCGCTCTATATTGTTTACAAACGGTGCAGATTTGCAAAACATGGTCAATATATATATACTTACAATGTATAAACCTATCATTATCATGAACTATTTATATGTATAAAGAACAGGAGTTTTGATTGCTGGATGAATGATTCGGTTGTTAAAGAGCAAATAATGCATCTGCCTCTTGGTCGGGTTGTTGTCTCCTTGACATATTCCCCTTTTCCATTCACAATTTTACAAATATTTATGATTGGGTGTCCGTAATTTAGTGCTATAGGGACACGGTAGGAAAATAAAATTTCATATTTTTTTTCATAAATTGCACCAATATCCGTGACAGCTTAAGTTTTTACTAATAAACAAACTTGATATAAGGCATATTTCAAGGCAATTTTATGAAAACTCTGTCCCTACCCCTACCACTATTCCATGGGTAGATGTCAACATTATTGCATTTAACTGTTACACTATCTTTGTTAATGGATTTGTAATAATATGTGTTTTTATTATCAATACGATAGAAAATGATAGTGTGATCGCAAACAAAAGTAACGCCGTTTTACATCGTGAAGGCGAGGGTTTTGTGTAGTTTTAATTAAGTCTCCCAAACGAAGTTTGGGAAGACTTATTGTTTTTGCTCAGTTCTTATTATTATTATTCTTCTTCTTCTTCTTCTTCTTCTTCTTCTTCTTCTTCTTCTTCTTCTTCTTCTTCCGCCGCTTTTAAATTTGAACTTGTCCGCACCCGTTCTCCAAAACCGCTTGTCGGATTAACTTAGGGTTTCACAATATGTTAGACTAACATGTCTAGTGGTGCAATCAGGGTTTTGTTTTTGCAATGGGGTTTATAAAGGGGTACTTTGAGGGGCAAAAAGAAAAGAGGGTTTTACTATAGAACCCTATGGGATTTTATTTTTTAAAATTTTCAAATGATTATAAATTGAAAACCGTTCCTGATAGACACAACTTTTTTAATTGAAAATGTTCTAAATGATAAAGCCCATTAAATGAAATACAGGGTTAGTCCCCAGGGGTCACCCCCACCCCCTGCCATTTAAGAAAGTTCTAATACCTTGTAAGTGGTCAAGATCCCCACCCCTAAACCATATATATTCTGGTTTGTCATGCTAAGATGGTTTGAATGATATACAGGGTTAGTCCCCAGGGGTCATCCCCACCCCCTGTCATTTGAGAAAGTTCTAATATCTTGTAAATGGTCGAGATCCCCACCCCTAAACCATATATATTCTGGTTTGTCATGCTAAGATGGTTTGAATGATATACAGGGTTAGTCCCCAGGGGTCATCCCCACCCCCTGTCATTTGAGAAAGTTCTAATATCTTGTAAATGGTCGAGATCCCCACCCCTAAACCATATATATTCTGGTTTGTCATGATAAAGCACATCAAATGTAATACAGGGTTAGTCCCCAGGGGTCACCCCCACCCCCTGCCATTTAAGAAAGTTCTAATATCTTCTAAGTTGTCAAGATCCCAACCCCTAAACCATATATATTCTGGTTTGTCATGCTAAGATGGTTTGAATGATATACAGGGTTAGTCCCCAGGGGTCATCCCAATCCCCTGCCATTTGAGAAAGTTCTAATATCTTGTAAATGGTCGAGATCCCCACCCCTAAACCATATATATTCTGGTTTGTCATGATAAAGCACATCAAATGAAATACAGGGTTAGTCCCCAGGGGTTACTCCCACCCCCTGCCACTTAAGAAAGTTCTTATATCTTGAAAGTGGTCAAGATCCCCACCCCTAAACCATATATATTCTGGTTTGTTATGCTAAGATGGTTTGAATGATATACAGGGTTAGTCCCCAGGGGTCATCCCGACCCCCTGCCATTTTAGAAAGTTCTAATATCTTGTAAATGGTCGAGATCCCCACCCCTAAACCATATATATTCTGATTTGTCATGATAAAGCACATCAAATGTTATACAGGGTAAGTCCCCAGGGGTCACCCCCACACCCTGTTATTTAAGAAAGTTCTAATATCTTCTAAGTGGTCAAGATCCCCACCCCTAAACCATATATATTCTGGTTTGTCATGTTGAGATGGTTTGAATGATATACAGGGTAAGTCCCTTGGGTTCATCCCGACCCCCTGCCATTTGAGAAAGTTCTAATATCTTGTAAATGGTCGAGATCCCCACCCCTAAACCATATATATTCTGGTTTGTCATGTTGAGATGGTTTGAATGATATACAGGGTAAGTCCCCAGGGGTCATCCCGACCCCCTGCCATTTGAGAAAGTTCTAATATCTTGTAAATGGTCGAGATCCCCACCTCTAAACCATATATATTCCTATTTGTCATGTCTCGAACATTTGAATGACGTATACGGTCAGTCCCCAGGGGTTCTCCCCACCCCCAATGTTCTAATATCTTGTAAATGGTTGAGATCGCCACCCCTAAACCATATATATTCCTGTTCGTCATGTAATGAACATTTGAATGACGTATAGGGCCAGTCCCCAGGGGTTCCTCCCCACCCCCAATATTCTAGTATCTTGTAAATGGTTGAGATCCCCACCCCTAAACCATATATATATTCTGGTTTGTCATGCCAAGATGATTTGAATGATATACAAGGTTAGTCCCCAGGCATCACTAATGCATATAACTTTACTGGACCAAACCAATTTTCACTGGACATTGCCCAATGTCAGGCGACCCTGGGAATTACGAATTATGGGAGCTTCGTTTGGGAGACTTCGTAACAGCATCCTGTTACAATCATTTCTTGTTACATATTTTTTTAAATGATTTATGTCACTTCATAAAATAAGCCTTATCAAGTGCAGAACACTTGCTAAAATGTCTAAATCGGCATTCAAGATGCAACCATTTCATTTCAAGTTAGTGTCATTGCTGTTTGCAACTTGTCAGAATATTTTGTCGTGAAATAAGCAGCACGAATGATGCCACTGGTGGAACAGAATTTGGACGTCCAACGGGGTTGGCAGTCGTCTTCCGACATCTGTCATTCTGTCGACATGAACTTTTTCACAAATTTTCTTTTCTGAAAACACTAGACCAAATTCAACAATACTTCCGTATTTAGCTAACAAAATAAACTTCTATAGAATATAACATTTAAATACGTATTTACGTATTTCACAGTACAATAATTTTGTCAAATCCTCATGGAATGTAAAAACTTAGACGGAAGATCCTTCTTGATCCATACACAGTTACATGAACAAAATTGCAAATATTTATGTTTGTCCTTTACGGTATTTTTCTAATAAATGGACTAAATCTTTTTTTGGAGTTCAGATACAATATGCAAGTTTTGTGTAATATCTTAAAAACCGCTACAAAAAGACAAAATCTGACAGGGCACAAATTTCAAAATGTTGAGATCTACCTACTGTCTGCTTGCGTTAATATAAAGTCAGACAAATTCATGTAGGAGTTATTGCTTTTATGGCGAATTTTACCAATTGTTTTCATTTTCGCCTATTATATTGAAAACTGTAATAAATAGAGAGAAGCTTTGAACTATTGCAAATTAAACAAATATGTAAAAAAAAAGCGAGTGCGGAGATTTAATTTTGATAAGATTGAAGTAAAGTATTGCCAAAATCGTCAGGCAATTCCTTGTTGGAGATGTCAATTGTCTTTTAATGACATTTTGGACCAATTTGTTGTGTTTTTCCTAAAATGTTTGACGCTATTATATATTAACAGAAAACTTTTAAAAGCAAAAACAACATCTACATTTAATTATAATTTATTCCTTATTGGTCTTCGAAGACGTTTGTTACCAATTTTGTTTTGTGTTTTTGCCTTTTTAGAAGAACATATAATAGACGTGAGAGACTTCGTTTTGGAGTCTTTGATGACGATTTGACCAATGTTTTGCGTGTTTGTCTATTATCTTGAAAACAATAAAAGATATATAGACATTTTATGTTGCAAAAATAATCAGCAAAACATGTTCGACAAATAAGTCTTTATTCGCTGAAATCGTCTGTAGATTTTGGATAAAAGTTATTGCTTTAAATGAAATTGTTTACCCTTTTTTGTGTTCGGGTAAAACTAAAGAAGATAGAAGCTGTAGTCAGAAAAAAATGATCAGCAATATAACATGATAAAAAATCCACCAAAGGTTTGTTTTAAATTATATTCTAGTCTTCAATGCTGCAGATTGTGCATTGTTGAAGATGCGTATATACCTTTAGAACCTCAATGTATTTAACTGATAAATACACGAGTTTTTTGCCATTCGCCATTGCACTTTTTACACTAACAGCAGCAATCGCAGACGGGAAACATGATTCGGGAATGTCGTTGGAACCCTTGATAAGTTTTTAAACTATAAAAGCTAGAGAAAACATATCAAATATGATCAGTCAGATAAAGGTCCTCAACTAGACACGCATTATTAATTACCAGAAAGGTGCAAATAGAATCGAAAAAGGATTATTTTTGCGACGTTTATTGATATAAAATTGTTGTCAGTCTTTCTTTTAATCCTGTTTTTTTCTCTCACGTTTGTTGTTTTCATTAGACATCATTAACCACGTGAAAACTTTATGACAACTAATAAAACGTTTGCGAAAGAAATGGATGAAAAAAACAGAGTCAACAGCTAAATATGATGTACTTGGTTTATTTTTACCTTTTCTACCTTATTATTCTTTATTCATGATGACGTTTAGATACATCCTAGGTTAAAATTTTTTTGTACATCAATAACTTTGTCAAATTTCATCGAATTTGTGTTATTTTGGACATAAGCTTTTTAATAATCAACAGATAGTATCAAGAGCAGAATTAAGAATTTGTTTCTTAATTTATTTTATTCCGCCGATAATGCGATAAAAGGACTATTTGTTTTGCAGTTTACCGTAACATATATACTGAATTATTTTTTTTTTAGACATACAACATGTTAAAATTAAAGTCTTCTAAGTGATTAAAATAGAGTTTCGGGAAACAATTTAAGTTTTAATTTATTCATATGTGACTGATAATGATACATGAACTTGGTTTTTTACAGTCACAATATCATTTTCATCCTTACAGGCGCAATTACATGCAAACCACAGTCTTCCGTTTAACACTTTACAAGTTTGTTTATGTCGAACTTGGAGCATTTCTGCCATTTGTTATTTTATAAAATGTGAGTCTTTCCTGATAAAAGAAGGCTTTTAAATCACATGACTCGTTGTCCCATTGACCTTTGATAACCATATCCTATTTAATAATCTTTATGAATCTCTTATATAATGATAAATACGTTTGAAATATTAGACGAAAAACAATATTGTACCTTTTTTCAGGCAAAGAAATACAACTTGAGTCACCAACTGGCGAGTCAACATTAAAGGGGAAACGATTTGATTTACTCTAAATAATATTTATAACTTCACCATACATACAAAAATGTAGTACATTGTTAGTCACAATGGACTCTTGTACACGGACTTGTTAGAGGTCGAAACCACAATCGAGGATGGAAGAAAACAAGTCTTTTCATTTTGTTTTGGTAAAACCAAGTTTTGTGTTTTGATTAGTGTTTTCTAGGTAAGGAAAGTTAAGAAACGGGTTTACACGTGGAAAGATACAGGTTTAAAGATTATCACCTGAACACTGGAATTTATTTTTGACAGATATAAACGTGCATTGGTGAAGAACAAGACAATTTTTTGTTATTATGATTCCTGTTTTCCATTTTTTATTCGAAAGGTAGTTTCGCCTTCAACAGTAACTGAAGTTTACTAAATAAATACATGTTCTTTGATTCATTGCCTTCAATTATTTATTTAACATATTTCAAATGAAATATATTTTTTCTTATGATTGTGCTGTTGCCATATTTCTTTATCGGTGTGAGAAAACAAAATTCTGCTCAATAGTGAAATATCTGTTCTCGATATATTGGTCGAAATTAGATTATGACGTCATATTTTCTTGGTTTCCTCTTAAATTTCTTATTACGAAGTCATGAAATAAGGTGACCATGCCTGATGAAAACACATATAAAGAACATAACTTGCTGCATATCTTTAAATATAAAGGATGAAATCATTATAGAAACAGATTCCACGACTATAGCTTTGAATAATGATATTTCTCCACTCTCAACAGTTAAGTTTTAATTATTTGAACGGCTCGACAAGCCTCACGCTTCAAATATTAAAATTAAAATGTCTTGAGTGGAATAATGTCGTTACGCACTTAAAGAGTTGACTTTTGAGAATTAGGGGAAAGGATACACAACAGACGAACCATTTAACTACTTTCAGCAAGTGAATGTTGGTCGTTGCAGATCGATAGAGAAAATAGCGAAAACAACAGAGAACAAATTTATCCGAAGAGTTTACACAGCTACGTGCCGAAATAACATCGTTCATTAAACAACACACACAATAACTACACTGGTAAGCTCTTCTATACAATCGAAAACCATAAGTATATTAAGTGCCCATGAGAATGATAATAGCCTAAAAATTCCACATTATAAGTGCAGAAAGCTTACATTTCTCTATGATTGGGAATGGGACTTCGGACAGGCACCTACAGAATATGGCGGGGTTAATCTAGTTTCTTTGCGCAAAACCACCCCCTCTACATGTGACAGTAGTGTAACAGAACACACTCAACAGCAGACTATAAAAATCAGTTTGAAAGGGTTAGACTAATCAGATGGTCACAAAGGAGAAAAACATCCGACAAAAACACAGACCTGACGAGGCAGAAAATGTAAACATCCAAACAACAAAAAGACAAAGTGTAGATCTTGGATCACTGACAGATAGTCCAAAGCCAATAACAACTTAAAAAAAAATCTTGAACCAAGATTAAAATCTTTATCAGTAAATATCCAACATCCAATTCATATAGTGTGGACACGTCATTAACACTCAACAAACTGACCTTGTGCAATGCAAATTTACAGGTATCAACATATTGCAGAGCCATGAAAGTGCATATATATATATATATATATATATATATAAACAAGTCTAAATTGAAAACAACGTTCAAACCTATGATTGCGTTGGATAAAAACCGCAATTTTTATACGTGTGCATGCAAAACAAATTTCTTGGTAGAGGGGTCTAAATACAGCACAAACAACGTTTTCCAAAAGACCAAAATGAGTGAAAAAGTATATTTTATATATATTATCCGTTCATTCTATTTTGACTTTAAAATTCAAGACTCTATCCTTAATTGAGGTAAATTAAATGGCCTTCCAAATACTTTTCGATCCCTAACATCACTGAAGAGACATTAATTGTCGAAATCCGGATATGGTGTAAATAATTTAGCACCTCATGTTGTGGTTTACCATCTTTGTCGCATGTTTATTGTTTTCTTCTTGGTATTAAATTAATAAAGAGATCCATTTTGTTACACCTTGTGATCAATTTATTTGGCAATCATCAATGGCAGTCAGCAGGGTTTAAGAACATCAGTTGTTCGACCTGTTAGTCAAATGCGTTTTGTTAAAATATATTTTTTCACTCTTATGGTCTTTTGGAAAATGTTGTTTGTGCTGTATTTAGACTCCTCTACAACGAAATTTGTTACATGCACACGTATAAAAATTGCTGTTTTTATCCAACGCAATCATAGGTTTGAACGTTGTTTTCAATTTAGACTTGTATATATGTATATAAATATGTAACTATAATATTTAGTTTGATTTTAGTTTAATGATTACAAAAGCAACATTTAGACCAATAAAAACAGTATTCAAAGATCTAATTACAGTGTTGAATATATAACTTTTAAGTTAACTTAAAAGGAAACTTCACAAAACAAAAACGAAAATATGTTATGTTTGTTCGTCAGAAATATGCATACAGTCGTCAGTCTATGGAAGAAGCGAATCGAAAAACAAGTTTCTTGTATGAAAAAGCGATATTGTCTTATAAGAATTGTAAATATGCAGACACTCCATGCGGAAAAAGTTGTTTTCGGCAACGACAAATTAAGAAAAATACAAATTTTAAAACATATTGTTTTAATATAAACAACAATTAAGTCTAAAAATACATTCAGAAGTTAGTTAAAATCAAAAGTTTATGTCCGTGTTAAATTCAAAGTGCTGTGCTTTTCTTATGTACATATATACTTCGATACTTTTGAAATATGATAGCAGTATTTTTTGTTATGTCAATATCAGTAGTATTGTATGTTAATAAGCAGTTGTAATGCCATTGCTTAAATTTAAATTGTTTTTGGTAACATCTTTCCAATTTCTTAATTGGTTTTGGAAGCAAAACCAATCAAATAAGGGTTTTATAAACATCAATGCAATTAAATAGCCAAATATAAAAATTATTGTTCACATATGTAACATGTATTAAATTACTTTATGAACGCATCGAAACAATACATATCCGATATTCTCCCTACACACGCATAGAAGACTTTCTTTATTGGGAACAATATAACTAACTTGTGCCAAAGATGTATCATACTGTCCTCGTTCAGTTTGATTCGACAAATTCTGACATGTACTTGTGAATCTCGTTTTTATACAGATTAGACCGTTGGTTTTCCTGTTGAATGATTTAACACTTGTATTTTGTGGGCCCTATATAGCGTGTTGTTCGGTGTGAGCCAAGGCTCCGTGTTTTAGGTCGTACTTTGATCTATAATGTTTACTTTTAACATATTGTTACTTTGATGGAAAGTTGTCTCATTAGAACTTATACCTCATTTTCTATATGTATAAATCTTTAAAATTTCCCCTTACAAACTGTTTTCCCGTCGTCCAAAACCGTCTCACTACTTCATTGTTTCTAATTGCACATCCATTTTCAGTAGTGAACCAGGTAACAACATAAAAAAATAACTGATACGATATGTTGTTAAAGGGGAGAAGTTTATTGACAAGGCATCTGGAAATCAAAGTGCTGAAGTACTAAACATCGGATGACCGCAAGTTCTTGTGGATGGTCATAAGCACTTGTCTCAGAAAAAAAAATCACATCTCTATACCTGAAAGTGAGGTTAATGTACCGAGATATTTTTTTTTCTGAGACAAGTTCGTGCGTGAATGATGAATAAATGACAGAAAATTCAACCTCACCGTAGTAACTATTATATTGTAGTGATACAAATGAGTATACTCTGGTTCGATGCTATATATTTATTTATATTAATATTTGTAGATAACAGTTAAATACATATATAATTTTCATCCATTTGTATATCATCTAGTTCTACAATTCTAATAATAGTGAAGTGCAAGTCATGGTGGACACTCCTCTGTGATAATTCGATTTTTCTAATCGATTGGATTTTAGTAGGCATTCATATTTTCCCGGAAAACGTTCTTGAGATAATCTTCCGCATGCATTAACATATTTTTTTCTGTACGCGTGCGTAGATTCAATGATTTTTTTTAATTTATATATATATTTCTAACGTCAAAACATTTTCATATTATTAATTTGTGTTAAAAAATATATGTTTATGAGTATTCATTGAAGAAATGAATTTATAACAAGCGATAAAGAACTTTATTTTGCACTCGATAATGTCCGCGTATTTATACAATCGGTTACCAGTCAAAAACGGAGTCAAATATCTGTAGCAACAATACATCGGAATGTTCTCACGGTTATCGCGATGTAAAAAGTGTCCAAGCGGCGAGCTGATTTTGTTCATAGAAATATCGAATTGCTAAAGGGAAAAGTCTTTGATATCCAACAAGAACTGTTTCTTTCTCAATATTTTTTTCTATGTTAATAATAAATACATCTTCTGTTTGACAACATTTTTCATTCGTGGTATCTGAAGTTGTTTAATTTATAGTATGAGGCTGCTCAACTGGATTTTCATTACTTGTTATAAGTTTTTTATTTGGATGACTAATGGTACCTTCAAAGTTCTGGACAATAGTATTTGTCCATTTTTCTTTATTTGGAATATTTATTTTTCCATTTGAATATTCATTATCAGGTGTTATTGGGAACCGTATTGGATTGAATTGTTTGTAGGAATGTTTTTTTTTTCCTTTTAAGTAATGATATTTTTTGTCTATTTCGATAATAACCATGTTAACAGGCTATAACAGCGTGACCTATAATAGAATCAAATAGGTCTGTAGACTACTTACAGTAGCCACATTTAAATTTCGCCATTGCATCATCACTGCAAATAGAATTAGTCGGTATAACCATATGATCGAAAACAATGGACTTGTTAACACTGTCAACTATCGATAGGGTCAAACAACATTTTCGACATGATTAGTTCATGTAAATAAAGGCAACAGTAGTATACCGCTGTTCGAAATTCATAAATCGATTGAGAAAAAACAAATCCGGGTTACAAACTAAAACTGAGGGAAACACATCAACTATAAGAGGAGAAAAACGATACAACAGAAACACTAAAATGCAACACACACAGAAACGAACTATAAGATACCAATAGTCATTTTCCTGACTTGGTACAGAACATTTTAAGAAAAAATGGTGGGTTGAACCTGGTTTTGTGGCTAGCCAAGCGTTAATTTTGTTACAGGTACGACATTTTAGTAATATTTGGCCTATAAAATTAAACTGGTCATGAACTATGATTGGGCATTATGTTTGCGGTTTCCTTGACATACATTGTGACGTGTTATCGTATTAATTTTATACGAGAAAACTATCGCAGTTATATTAGAAAAATATTGCATTCATAAATGTTTTTA